TCTTGGAAACTTGAGACACTATCTCAAAACAAAAGGGGGGCCAGGGGTATTGCTGAGTGGTAGAGCACCCATAAGTCCAAGCCTCATAAAAACAAAATAAAACTACCAAACATTATGTTTTATATACCTAATAAATCTACTTGAAATATATAAGTGAAAATGGGTAGTTACCAGGAGAAGTTAATAAACCTATAGCAGTATCAGGAGATCCTCATATACTTCTGCTAAATACGGAGAGATCAAAGCAGATAGAAACTGTGTAAAGAATTGCATGATATGAATAACACTATTGATAATGTTAAAGAGTTACATATACAAATATACATACATATATAGAAATATTTGTGAGTGTACATGTAATTTATACTGAATCATCCATTCTTATTACTTTTTTTTTTGGTTTTTCTCCGGTACCGGGAACCGAACTCACGACCTTGCGCTTGCCAGGTAGGCGCTTTGCCGCTGAGCTAAATCCCCAGCCCCCTATTCTTATTACTTAATAATCTATACTTAATCTTAGCTAAAAGGCTGAGAAGTGATTATTAACAGTATCATCAATATTTCTCATATTCTGTCAAGAATTGTTTGAAAGTATGACTTTGAAGATAACATGATATTTATCATATTAATGTATATAATTTAACTAGTCACATTAGGGTTTTGTTTTTTTTTTTTTTCGGTACTGGGAACTGAACTCATGACCTTGTGCTTGCCAGGCAAGCACTGTGCCATTGAGCTAAATCCCCAGCCCCTTTATTAGGCATATTTAGATTTAAATTTTTGCCACTGCCAGACATGGTGACGGACGCCTGTAATCCCAGCACTCAGGAGGCTGAGGCAGGAGGATTGTTGTGAGTTCAAGACCAGCCTGGGCCACAAAATGAGTTCAAGGCCAGCCTGAACTACATAGCGAAACCCAGTCTTAAAAAGACAAAAATAAATAAATAAATACATTTTTGCCACTACAATAATGCTATAGTAAACATGAAGTACTATTTTTTACTTCATTGTTCACAAACGACTTTGCTGTATTAATATCTTCCGGGGTGTCTTAATTAGAAGGTTCCCAATTGGAAAACAGCAGTACACTTCATCTGAAGGAAGCATAGCCATAAAATGTAAAAAAATAGAAGAAGAAGAAGCCCTACATTTTAGAGTTTTCTACAAATATCACGTTGCTCAAGAAAAATCAAGGCAGATGACTAAGATTTGTGTAACCATCTCAAAACGAATGGGGAAAGAGGTACAGTATCTGCAGTACAGATACAGCCTTGTCAGACACCAACATTATCATTGGTAGACCTTACACATCAGTATGTAAATAACAGATGCTGAGCCATTTCCTCTGCAGGTTGCCTCTAAATTGAAGTAAAAACTATATTGCTAAAGCTGGGGAAGCTAGAACAGAAAGGACAATAAATCAAACAGCGATATGTGTTTCATTTAACACTGAGAAAACAAGCGCTTCCAGATAACTACATATTGTGGAGGATAAACAGTTCTAGAAACGGGGAACAAGTGAGGCAAAGCTAAAAGGAAGAAAATTGGATGAAATTCATCCAGACTAAAAATATCGGCAATCCCAGGGCAGGGATATTAGCTGGGTAATAAGGTGAGATGCATGTGAATCTGATCTGCTAGAGGGAAGAGGGCGTGCCTGCTGGAGCCCGGCAGGCCTCAAACTGCCTTTGCTGGAGCTTGATGGTGGAGCCAAGTGGCCCTGGCGAAGCTCTCCAAGTCTCATGAATTTCAAAAGGTCCAGAAAAGCCAGGTAATCAGAGCTAGATTCTGTCACTGAGCCCCTGTGACGAAGTCTAGTTCATGTCAACACAAGGACATAAATTGGGTTTTATGAACCATTTTTTAAAAATTCTAAATTCTAAAGGGGAAGTGTTGTAAAGGTCTATGTGCAACTTTACAGAGTCTGGTTGTTAAAATAGATATTTAATGTATCGTGGAAAGACTCACCGAGACCAGATTCGGTGACTTTAAGGAAAGTAAGATCAGGTTGGGGGGGAGCACCGTGGATATGCTAATGGGATGTTGACTGCTTTCTTTCAAGTGGTGAGGATCAATAGATCCACTCTCCAATGTTCTCTCAGGAAAAAAGTAATAAATCAATTCATATTTGTCAAATGCATTCTTTTATAAAAGTCTGGATGCCAAAATATTGTTTTCTGAGTTTTTTTTCTTTTTTAAATAAGGATTTGGCTTTGGAATATGGAAATCCCCAAGATAAGAACCTCTCAGCAAGAATTAATGGCCCCCCAGAATTCCTATCAACCCCTGAGAGTTTCTCTCCCCCGCTCGCATAAAACCCTCCCATTAGGGATGGTGTCCGCCATCACTGAGTTAAAATTCAGTCTGTCTCTAATGGGTCTTTTCTTTTTTCATTTCTCCAGGTTATAGTTTCAAACATCTTATTCATTTATGAAATGAACCAACAGATAATCATCATTCCTTTTCTGAAAGCAAGTATAATCTCTTTGTTCTCAAATTCCAAATATAGTACACTTCTCTGTGAAATTATGCATGGGCAAAATTTACATTTCTAGAGATTTCTACTTTCAAGCAAGGTGAACTATCTGATCCAAGTGCTGCTCCTGGAGTGAGTGTCTGCAGGGGACAGGAGAGTCCTTTCCAGGGGGGAACTGAACTGGATGGTCTGGGACTCTCTTTTGCCCCACAGTGCAGCCAGGTTTGTTTTTGTGCCTCTGGCTGGAGGTTGGATGCTTTGCCTTGGCAGAGAAATGTGTCATCTATTTTAATTCTGACCTGTGATGTTTTATTCACATTTTAAATCTTTTATCGCCTGTGGCTCCCATGAGATTTTCCCTTTTGTTAGCATTTTTTCTGATTGGTATTGATTCTCTATTTTGCCAAAGGGTTAGGAACACTCCTGCCCTGTTGGCATGATTTCAGAATCTGACTGCTGTTTTCCTCCCCACAAAAGTATCTATAGCCATTTAATTATGTAGTTTATTTTTAAAGCAAGAATGAAAGAACCGGGGATCATCTTTCACTTAAATTCAGCTTAGCATGTTCTCCAAATGTTAAACATTCTCAACTCCTTCAGTTATTGAAATGGGTGTCCTTGTCTAAAAGAAAATGAGTGCATTTGATTTTACCCAGTTTAATGTCACAGATTTTACTGTATATTGTTTTCTTTTGTCAAATAGAAATAGAGTACATAACCTCAAACTATGTCAAAAAGAAATGAATACTCTCTGCAAGAAAAATAATAACTTTCAGACACTTCAGCTGCAGAGTAAATTCTGTATCTTTCACTAGACACACCTGACATATAATGGTGACCCCAAAACTGCCTTAAATGCCCTGAAAGAAGCATTACATGCCATTATATCTAGAAGATATGAGCTGTTCTATGGCAATTGAATTTTAGTACAACAAAAAGTGTTATTTACTGGTAAAATCCAAAGACAGGCAGGAATATATCTAACAATTCATGTTGTCAAAGGCTAAAGTATATGTCTTCTCCAGAGAGTGACCATGTAGAGGGATGTTCTTGATTGGGGAAGACCTGTTCTGGGAGTTCCAGGACTCAAGATGCTCTGTGCCCTATACCCATCTTCTGTTTATACACACTGTCATCTGGGGACTTGGTCTTCCAGAAGCCTCTACTTTCTACATGTCTGAAGCTCTTTTTCATGGCAATGCATCATTTTTGAAAGGTGTAAATGAAAGGGATTGCTGGGAGGAGCACTGGAGCCAGGCAGCTGAATCCTGCTGTGGTGGAGATTCCCTATCCACACACAGAAAGGAAGTTGTCAGTCTATGTCTTGGTTAGTTTTCTCTCATTGTTGAGACAAAATACTTGACATGCAAAATTAAGGAAGGAAAGGTTTACTTAGCTTACAGTTTGTGGAGGTTTCAGTCCATACTTGGCTGGCTCCAAGGCAGAGTGGCACATGGTAGAGGGCAAAAGTTCATGGAGATGGAACAGCAAAGCAACAAGAGCAAAAGGGGAGAGCAGCAGCAAGCAGCCTCTTTCCCTCTCTTACACTGTATGCAAACTATTCACCCCAGGGCAGGTGTAGCACTCACATCCATAATTCCAACATTGGACCATGAATCAATCAGAAAATCTAGAATCCTACCCTGTGACTGCATGAGGCTTTGTGGGGAACATCCAGATACAAACCATAACAGTCTGCTCTTTCATTGTCCAACTCTACCCTAGGAGCAGACTCAGATCTTGAGTTCTCTGGTAATAGTGTAAATTTTACACTGTTGCCTATGGCTCCCCAATCCTTCTGGGTTCCCAGAAACATGTGTTCTCACATTTTCCATTCTTCAAATCCACATCAGAGAAATGGACAGTTGATGCCTGCATTGGCTATGGGACAGGGAGCTGACTCAGATACCCACTTCCATCCCCAGCACTGCCTGGGTGGCAGGAAAGACTAGGGCACTCCCACTTGGGGCAACTCCAGTGACTGTGCCAACTGGAAGAGGCTCTGGGCCTGCCATAAAGGGGAAAGGATGAGCATCTGATTTTACAGTGAAACATAAAAATCCAAACAGAGCTAGGAAAAAAAAATGTCTCCACCCGTATCTACCAGACAGATGTGGCTCCAAAAGTGTAGATAAGTGCTGGGGCAGAAGCATTGTGGGGGATGTTTTCCCACAGCTTTGCAAAATTTTTGTAAGGATAGTAACTTAACTTCAGGTTAACATTAATGCTGAGAACCCAGCAACCCTGTTAGTTTCACCTGCCCCACTGATGGAACTCATATTTCCATTTCCAGGGTCATTTCTGGAAATCCTCAAAGAGTGCCACATTTGCTAAACACAAATCTACCTGCCTTCTCCAGGGTGTGATCTCCTTGTGGGAGCACATGAGCCACTGCTGTGATTCTGAGAGAGAAAGAGAACGTGGTAGACACCATCATCGTTCTTCAGTGTACCAGATACTGACCCTACTGTCCTTGCAGAAATTGAGAGGTGTGCATTTCCCCCAGTCAAAACTCACTGCTCACCATGATCTGCAACAAAAAACACTCTCTTTCACATCTGCTTGCACCACCCTCTCTACAGGAGACTGTGAATCTCTTGGACTTTAGCAAGGATAGGAGTCACTAGGGCCCTTGTTAGAAATGTAGAACCCTTGCACAGGAAATCTGCTTTTGAAACAAGCTTCTCAGGTGATTCTGGAGCAGGTAGTCTGGATGACACTCTGAAAGAAATAGGAAGAGTCCACATGATGATATATAGAAAACCCATACACTGGGTTTTATATACAGAGGAGACAGAGAGCATTTGGGGAAACTCTGTAGTAATGATTGTGATAACTAAAAATGTGTAGTGTGCATTGGGCCAAGAGAGTACATAAGAAATATAAAGAATAAAAAGGCAACCCTGGTAAGAAATTTCAATTCAGGGACTGAAGAGGAAATTAGTAGTATGCTACCCCTCCCAGCTTCTTTCCACCCAAGGACAGAGGCTTAGGTAAAGAGTCCCCCAAGTGCCCCTTTCTACTTACCAAGTCTTCCTATGCTCTTCTCCACGTCAGCTAAACACAGCAAGGCAGAAAAACATTATCTGCTGGAATGATTTATCATAGGAAGGGCTAAAGTAACAAATTTAATTCAAAGCAGTTTGGGCGCAGCATTTCTGATATATCTTTTCACTTGTGATGGAATCTTAGCTATTTGTACAGCTAACTCTCCACTGCCTACCCTCGCCCCACCCTCCCCATTCATCAATCTTCACCCTATCTTGCTCATGCCGTGACCAGGAGAGGTCATGGTGACTAGGAAATAGGCCCAAAAGAAAGAAAAGAAGAGTGGGTGTGGGAGTTTGCATTCTTTCAAATCCCAGGGTTGACTAACATTACTAAAATGTCAGTTTTTATCTCTGCCAGTCCTGGGTGAGAATGGAGACATTCAGTTCTCCACGCTTAACTCTTTGTGATGGATGTTGTAATGGACCCCCAACATCCACTCACCTCTAGACAAGTGACCCCAGCCCAACAGCACATAGCACTCTTCTCCACACGGCTGTGCAAACTGTGCCCAAAGCCAGGCCTGTTAGACTAGCACTGCTGCCAAATAAAAATATGTAATTCAAGCATCGTATGTAATTTTAAATTTTCTGCATTTTAAAAGTAAATAAAAACAAATGAAATCAATTTCCTAAGTTGTATGTATGCAACCCGACATACCTAACCTATTGTGATTTAAACACATAATCAATATAAAATTTTAGTAAAATGTTTTATGTCCTTTTTTCCTACTAGGTACTAAAAATTTACTATGTTCTTTACACTTATAGCATATTTGGAATAGCAATATCTCAAGTGCTTGTAACCATATATGACCAGTGGTTATCATAATTGGTAATGTAGAGCTTAAATTCTATGTTTTAGAGTGGGATGGGAACAATTATGTATGTCCTCCTGTTTTCCCTCCTCTGCTTCTTCACATCCAGAATATAAATAAGGACTTATGTCACCTCTGTGGTGACTGGCAGCCATCTTATGACCATGAGGTGACATGCTAACCTACATACCCTTCCTCCCATATTATAGCCACAGAAGTCTATTTCCAGTCCCTGTTGTGTTGGGTTTGCTTGCTACATCAAGCAAGTAGACATGAGCCAAACACTCTTCTCCTTCAAGTTACAAATTATTAGAGTCAATAAAACTCAAAGCCAACTATTTCCTAGAGAGTTACTACTGTCTTCCTGTTAGTTTGAATTATATTCTTCTTAGATACTACCTCACAGCCATTTAGGATGGCTACTATCCAAAAAAATCAGAAAATAACAATAACAAGTGTTGACAAGGGTATGAGAAATCAGAACTCATGTTCTCTGTTATGGGGAATGTAAAATTGTGCAAAAACTAGTGGACAATATTATGGATGTTCCTCAAAAAATTAAAAATATAAGTACCATAAACTTACAGTGCCATTTCTGACTATATACTCAAAAGAATTAAAAGCAAATGTTGAAGAGATAAGTATATACTCATGTTTGTAGGAGTGTTACTCAAAATAGTCAAGGGGTAGAAGCATCCTATGTCTATCAAGAGATAAATGGATATACAAAATGTAGTGCATATGTATAAAATATGGCATGTAAATGATGAAATATTATTCAGTCTTCAAAAGAAAGGAAATTCTGATTTGCTATAACTCTGGTGAATCTTGACAACATTATGTTAGGTGAAACAAGCCGGTCACAAGAGGAGAAACATGATGTGATCCCACGTACATGAGGTATCAGGAGTAGACAAATTCATCAAAGCAAAATGGAGGATGCTATGGACTGGAAGGAGGAGTCAGTCCGGAGTTCCTGTTTAATGGGAGTGGCATTTGAGTTCTTCAAGATTAACAGAGTTCTGGAGGTGGACAGTGCTGAGGGTTTACAACAGTGTGAATGCTCACAATGCCACCAAATTACACTGAAAACGCTAGATTTTGTTATCTGTAGTTTACCACAATTTTTAAAAATTCAAACCTTGTTGGTCTTACTTCCCTTGAAATTAAACCATCATAATTTTAAAAGTCCATTTCAAATGTTAAAACTTTATTTTTTTATTTAACACTTAATCAGTGGTAGTACTGTACCTCTTTAAAACATGCAGGACCCTAGCCAGACATGGTGGTGGTGTGAGCCTGTAATTCAGCTCATCAGGAGACTGAGACAGCAGGATGACAAGTTTGAGAGCAGCCTGGGGGCAGTTTAGACCTGGTGTGAAAAAAATTTTTAATTTGTGAAGGACAGGAGATGTAGCTAAGTGGTAGAACACTTGCCTGGCATGCACAAGTGCCCCAGTACTACATAAAAAGAGGAGGAGGGAAGGAGGGAGGAGAGGGAGAAGGAAGCAGGGTTGAGGGGGGAGAGGAAAGGAGCTAAACATATGGTCTTACAAATTCCAGAAGGAACCAACATAGCTCTCAAACCTGAATTATTTTCTCAAGAAAATGTGTAAGTGCCAACTCATCAATATCTTCCTCTTTGTACATCCACATATTTTATTAAGGGCCTATTGTGAGGTAGGCACCAAGAATACAAGGAATTTCTCCAGTTGAGTCTATCAGAGCTCCTTAGGTTAAGAATCTACACTTGAGCTAGCCCTTGAAGGGTGAGTAGAATTTGCCAAATCGCAAAAGATGAGAAATGGCATTCTCAGAAGTAGGAAGACTATGTGCCAAAACCTTTACTTGTAAGAGGGCAGGGCCCATTTTAGGAAATTGGAGGCATCTCAGTGGGGCTGCAGCACTGGGTGCATAGCATAGAGTGGGGAAGGCATGTAGCCAAGGAAAACAGGTTTCCAGCTGTCTGTCCTTCCCTATTCTCACTGAAGCAACCTGCCTTTCCAATAACAAAGTTACCTGTGGGCATCTTGCACACAATTCAGCAATAGAAGCTGATATAAATCTCTTTGGTGCTAGGGATGAGAATTTTTAGGCCAAGCAAGGAAAATACCTGCTCACAAGCCACAGTTATCTTCTCCTAAACCACAGCAGTCATGACTCATCAACTATTACACTCCCAGCCCATAAGGTTGTATACAGTCTTGTTTTCTCGACACAGCTCTCAGGAAGTAGAGCTCTCAATCGGGATGGCACAGGAGATAAACCCCTTTAAAGTAAACCTGCCTCAACTCCAAGGGATTTGTGGCTAAATCCCTTTTGGAGAAAGGTAGAATACATGTTTATTGCAAGGTTGAATCTTCTCATGCAGAAGCTGATTTCTTGCATTTGCAAGCTGACATTGTAAGTGTTGCCCATGCACCAATAATCCAGAATGTACTATACATTAACTGCCGCATATACTACTTACAACAACAGCCTAGAAGATCAGGTATCTTCATTCCTGTTTAGGAAGAGGAATATGTGACATAAACATCTATGTGATCAGTCCAAGACCACAAGGTTGGAAAGAATCAAAGTGAAGCTTTGAACACCTATTAGTTTCCTACTGTGTCACATTGCCGCCATGTTATACTAATTAATTACACAATAGATATTACCTATATTGTCTTGCTTTGCATTTATAAATATGGTCGAAAAGTCAAAAAATTGCTCAAAAAACTGAGACTACTTAAAGTCAAAATCAGAGGTCAAATTATTTTAGCCACAAATTTTAGGGATACTTTATACATAAAATTTAACAAAATTTGGTCAGTAGGAAAGTCTCACAAGGCATTTAATTGTTACTCTTGAAAACTGATAGATTTAAAGAAGTCAAAAGCTTCCCATCTTGTTTGAAGAATCAAGTGTTTACCATTATACCAACATCTGTCTCCTGTGGACCCAGTCAAGTAGGACATAGTACTCTCTCTAGCATTAAGCATTCAACAGTGGGGGATCCTTTCTATTCTAAAAAAAAAAAAAAAAGCCACAGAAGGCTCTTGCAACCCATGGGTAATTGCTTGTACCTGCACTTGAATCAGATTGATTTGGGTTTAGTGCCTGTTCATTCCGAAGGGGAGAATTCTTCTTTTGGTAGAGAATGTGGTCTCACTCCAGGCATAGTTAACCTTCCCAAAGTGTCTATCTTAAACTTGTCTTATCTTGTTGAATAATCAGTATATCTGTCCTCAACTTTTTCTTTTAAAAGTATAATTTATTGCAGTATAATTGCTAATTGTTGCATTTAATTTCCAATTCCTAAAACATCTGCCATGTACTATTAAAGGGGGCATGATTCATACAATTTCTCCAAAAGCTTGAATTGTTAGCCAAGTAGTTTAAAAATTCCTGCTCCACAAACATGCATCACCACACATAAATAAATGTACCTCTTGATATTTCCTTGTATTTAGAGTGCATAAGGTGTATTTGGCAGGAAAGCAACAGGACCCCTACTACTTTCCCTTAGGGCTTCAAGAGTAAACATTTTCCACTATCAAAATCCACAGTCACAAATGAAATCTAGGAATCACTAAATCTCATTTCCAAGCTGATGAAAACATACTGATAAAGTAGGAAAGAAGATTTACCTTTTTGCAAAGATGATGAATATTATATGAAATTTAGGAAGTCAAAATAATAAACCAGGGGACCCTGGTTCCCTCCAAAACCAACTCTAGGATCACAAGGCATGTCATGGATTGGAAGAAGAAGACTTGCATTCCAGGGCCAGCTCCATCGCTTCTGGTCTGGGTAGTTTGGGCCTCTGATCAATAAAACAGAGAAGAAATCTTGCCTTCCCTCCTACCTTAGAAGATTGTTATGAACAGCAAAGGAGACAATGCACATAATACACTCTGAAAGCATTCCTGCTCTATCTAAGGCAGAGTCATTTATATCCTTACAAAAATGGTTCGCATTTACATTGCATTAAGGAATGCTAGAGCTTTATATATTTAATTAAGCTTTTAATATCTTGCAGTCAAGCCCCATACCACACCATGATATATTCTAAAGACTATCTCAACTTAGAAGTTGAGAGAATAAGGAGGCAAAATCACAAATAAAGTAAAAAATAAACCGCCACATTTCATATTTGTAAGCCCTGCCTCCTTGACTGACCGTATTTATATCACAGATCTATCACCTAACAAATTGCCTATACAGCCCAGGGAATGTTTTTTTAAAAAATAGTGTTTCAATATATAGGGTTAGTTCACGTTTAAAAAGCATGCAATGGTCAAGTGAATTATTGTCCTTAATCTATTTGTTGTGTAAAGACCGACACTTTCTATCCTGGATTGCTTGAATCATAGATATACTTGGACTGATAGGACCAAGGAGTAATTGATTCCTCAGCTTTAGCTAACACACTGCTGTTCTCAATGTTTAATTGCTTCTGCAGTAGCGCTTGGTTACAAGGAAGGCAATAGATCAGGTGCTCAGTGCTGTGGGTAGGGATGACTCATGCGGGTCTTGACATGCTCATTTGTGGCACTCAGGAAGAGATTGCCCCCTTTTAAATAAAAAGCACTCTTAGTCATAATCATCTAGTGTATTAAATTAATTCTAAATAACAAAGTTTCTTAACTACAAGTTCCTAGGTGCAGATATTTTACTTCTTATTAAGCATATCATTTACCTGTGTAAAAGTACCACATGCAGTTTACAAGTGCTACATAAACATGAATAGAATATTCAGAGAAAAGAAACTGTAAGCACCTAAAGGATTATGCACATACTCCAAGGATTAAATAGCATTCACTTATTATAAACTAATTATTCATCAAATCTAAAACACAAGCGCTCAGCAGTATTGAATCATCACTTTGGTAAACCAAATGCCATGAATATGAATGAATATCATTTTATTGGGTCCTCTCCCTCTTGCATGCTTCTTTCTTCCAAAACTCTGCATCAGCATTCTTTGCTGAAGAGCTGTGTGCTGGTCTTCCAGTCAGGGAAATGGAGGCACACACTGTTTTAAGAGTACCTGGCATTTCTTTCAGTCAGGAGTGGTAAGAAGCACACATGTGAAAATAACTGTCATAATGGAGGAAGTCTACACATTTCCAGACTCCTAGAAATAGGAAGGCAGGCAGAGCCTCATGGGAAGTACCAGGGTTGGCCAGGAGGCAGAGGGAGTAAAGAGCAGACAGGAGCAAGAATCTTTATGGTGGTTTCCAGAAGACCAGGGCAAATCAGGTTAGCAGCTTTCAAACTAAGTTAGAATAACTCCAGTGCACTCTGGGATACAGACCTATCGCTGGCTGTCTGGTATTGGGCCATAGGGTGATTAATACAGGGGAATAGTGTTCAGGAGTGTTTAGGGTTAGGTGGTCTGGATTGGACATTTTATTTTTTTATTTTAAAGATAAAAAATAATAAAAACAATGATACAGAATTTCAAAACTCTATTATCTTCAAAGTAGCTGCTCAGACTGTAAAATATACACATGAAAAATTAATCAAATATACATACAATTCTTTTTAATGAATAGAAATTAGTAGTATAATTATCTTAGCTATCTTGTGTATATACATCTATATATTTTTTTCTTTTCCCTTCCTTTTCTCCTTTCCCACATCCCAGTTGTTCTTTCCTTTTGAGCAGTTTCTTCCCATTTCATAATATCATTGTACATTTTGGATCTTATTTACTCTTTCAGTTTATTATACAAAGGAGACAATACGATGTTCACACATGTGAGTCCGATTTATTTCACTTATGAGTATGGTCTCAAGTTGTATCCATTTACCTATAAAAGCCATGAGTTTATCCTTCTCAGTAATACTCCATTGTATAAAAATACCACATCTTCTTTATCCATTCCTTAATTGATGGGCGTTTGGGTTGTTTCCAAGATTTAGCTATAACAAATTGCACTGCTATAAACATGGGTGCATATATATCTCTGTGGTATGATGTTTTTAATTCTTCTAGGAAAATACCCAGAAGGGGAATAGCTAGGTGGAATAGAACCTCTAATCCTAGTTTTGTGAGGAATGTCCACACTGATTTCCATAGTAGTTGTACTGGTCTACACTTCCACCAAAAGTGGAGAAGTTCCTTTTACCCCACAACCCCCCAGCATTTGTTAGTGGTTGATTTCTTGATGATAGATATTCTTTCCTGGATGAGATGGAATCTCAGTGTTGTTTTAATTTTCATTTCTTGAATGACCAGTGATGTTGAACATTTTTTCATATATTTATTTGCCATTTTTATTTCTTCATCTGAGAACAGTGTATTCATCTCAGATGCCCATTTTTGGATTGAGTCTTTGAATTGGGGAGGGCTGATGTTTTTCAATTCTTTATATATTCTAGATAGAAGTCCTTTATTTGTGGTACACTTGACTAAAATTTTTTCCCACTCTGTGCATTGTCTTTTCACTCTGTTGGTGATTTCTTTTGATGTGGAAAAACTTTCTACTAGGATGAGATTCCAGTTGTTGATTCTTTGAAGTACATCCCATGCAGTTTGGTTTGTTCATGAACTCTCTGCCTACACCTTAGTCTTCAAGATTTCTACCTACTTTGTGTTCCAGTAGATTTAATGTTTCTGTTTTAATTTTTAGATCCTTGTTCCATTTTGACTGTAGGTTAGTGTATGGTGATAGACATAGGTTTAGTTTTAGTCTTTGGCATGTGGAAAGCTGGTTTTTCCAGAGTCATTTATTAGTCTATCTTTCTTCCAGTGAACATGTTTGGCCCCTTTATTGAAGATAAGGTGACTGAGTGTGTTTGTAGTTGTGTCTGCATCTTCTAATCTGTTCCACTGATCCTCAGGCCTTTTTTCTGCCAGTACCATGCTGATTTTATCCAGGTAGCTTTGTGGTATAATTGCAAGTCAGGGATTGTGATACCTCCTGCTTTACCTTTGTTGCCCAGGATTGCCTTTGCTAGTCTAGGTCTCTTCTGTTTCCAAATGAATTTTAGGAATGTTTTCTCTAGATCTGTGAGGTATCTAATGGTATTTTGATAGGGACTGCACTAAATTTGTATCAGTTTTGGGAGTACAGCCATTTTCACAATGTTGAGTCTTCCTATCCATGAGCAAGGGGTATTTTTCCATTTTCTGATACCTCTTCACTCTCCTTTTTCAGAGTACTGCAAGTTTCACTGTCTAGATCTTTTACTTCCTTTGTTAGATTGATTCCTAAGTATTTCATTTTTTTGGATGTTATTGTGAAGGGTGCTGTTTCCCTAATTTCTCTCTCAATTTTTTGTTTGTGTACAGGAATGTTATTGATTTTCAGCATTGGCTTTGTATCCAGCTACACTACTAAGTTTACTTATTAAATCTCCAAGTCTTTTGGTGGAGTTTTTGGGCTCTTCTATGTAGAATATCATGTCATCTGTGAATAATGATAATTTAACGTCTTCCTTTCCTATCCTTATTCCTTTTATTTCTCTCTCTTGTCTAATTGCTCTTGCTAATGTTTCCAGAACTATATTGAATAGGAGTGGTGACAGTGGACATCCTTGTCTTGTTCCTCATTTTAGAATGAAAGCTTTCAGTTTTTTTAATGGTTTGGTTATGAAAGATGCACTCAAGCATGATTTGTTTACTGCCTCTAGGAATTAGCTCTAGGAGTCAGCAAGACCCTAGATGACAAAGTATCAAAAGTGAGGCATGAGAAAACATGGTTAATAGACACACCAACTATACAGGAAGTCAGAGGTTAGATCTAAACATGCACTTCATCACAGCCCTCACCTCATCTGGCCAAGAGGCTTCTCAGGAAGACTTTTTTTTTTTTTTTTTTTTTCTGAGAATTTGCTAGCAATGGAAACTGGAGTTATGGAAATAAAACCTTATTGTCTAAGATGTTTCAATGAATAACCACAAAATCATTCCTTTGACCTGACAACACTGGGAAATCCCCACATTATGCATCCATCTCATACGTTTGTCATCAGTTAATTAAAGTTCAACTACATGCATCTCAAAATCAAATTAACAATCGCCTAACAATATAAACCTCTGTCTTTTTCATGTAAAGTCTGGAAGCAGGCAGTCTAGGGCAGATATGGCACTTGGCTCCACTAGATCCTCAGGGACCTCAGCTCCTTGGTGCTCAGGGTGAGCTTTCTGGAGATCTTCTTTTGGTTTTCATGATTGAAGATGGAGGAAACCATGCTCCTGGCAACAAGATGGATGAAGGAACAAAAAATAAAAGAGTAAGAGTCAGCTGTCTTTCAAAGATAGTACCCAGAGTTATCATGTGGACACAATGGTTTTAGCTTATTGGCCAGAACTTATGTCTAGATGCAAAGAAACCTGAAACTTAACAGTTATTATTCCACTCAACTAAAAGCCAAAGGTTCTTAGGACTGGATTAGAGAGACAACTTCACACATTCTGCTCCAAGTTTCTGTAACTTACCCATTTATATTTTGTTTTATGCCACCGCTATTATCTCCAAAAGTAACTGGCCAAACATTTCCAAGTCTTTCTAAACCACTTTTTCTCTTACTCTCCATTTTTAGGCCACAACTAAGGCTGGCTTATTTTACTACCTCAGTCTCTACTGAGCACTTTCACAGAAGGTTCTTACTGGATTCTTCCATCTGCTCCTTTCTCTACCCAACAGCCCACACTCACTCCAGATCATGTCCCTCTCTGCAGCAAGAGCCATTGTCCAAAATATTCACCTATGTCCCTTCCTATATAGAGCCCTGCGGGGCACCCACTGGTTTGTGAGGTCCTCCATGATATGTAATTCCTATCTATTTCTCTCACCTTGTCTCCTGGCTCCTGCACACACACTTCCCTACTACAACAGCTGTACTGGATGTCAATTCTAACACAGAGTTCACTGACTCCACACATTGGCACTTGTTGTTTTATCTTGATGTTCCCCTCTGACCTTTTTATCTCAAGGCTCATAATCGTTTAAGATCTATGTCTAGGGTATCCCCCATGGGACATATTTCTTGACCCTTATTCCTGGTGCCAGATGGGAACTGCTTCCTTGGGGCCCACCCCCAGCCTCATCCATAGCCACTTTATGGAGCAGTGACTTTTTTTGCACACCTACCTATCATAACAGGTTCTGAGTTTCTACAGAAGAACCACCACATCCTACTCCTCTTTGGAGAATGAGTACTAACAATTCAGCCAAGAAACAGGTCTTCGGTAAATGTTCACTAGATAAACAAATCCTAGCCAGGCACGGAAGCACATACCTGCAATCTCAGCACTCTGGTAGGCTGGGGCAGGAAGATTATAAGTTTGAGCCCAACCCAGGAAACTTAGTGACTTATTAGATTCAATCTCAAAAGAAAAAACTGTACTAAAAAGGCTGAGTTTATAGCTCAGTGCAAAGGTCCTGAGTTCAATACCAAGTACCACTAGTTATTTTTTTTTGAAAAGCAAATCCTTCACTGAGAGGGAGCTTAGGGGAGCTGCCCTCTGAGCCCAGATCCCCTGAAGCACATCAGCATGCCTGCCTTTGCTGTCTCTCTCCACTTGAATAGCAGTTAACTGGTATCAGAGTCAGAATCTCAACTGTGAACTGGGCTATGCACTTCTGGCTCAGAAGTCTGGCCCCAGAGACAACTGTTCAGAAGGACATCCATATACTTGTGAGTGCGCATTTCCATAAAGCCTGATACAAATAAACTGTGCTCGAAATATTCTTTGTTAATCATATTGTGATTAGGAATACAGCCACCATCATAGAGCCAGATGGCCTGGGGTCAAACCCTGTGTGTCCTTGAAAAGGACATAGCTTTGTGCCCTTGAAAAAGTTATTTAACTTTTCCATGTCTCAGTTACCTATTTGGTAAAACAGAGATGACACTAGGTTATTGTGAGGAGCAAATGAGGCATGGCATGTCAAGGGCTTAAAACAGTGCTTGGCATGTTAAAAGGCAGCTTCCAGATTGGTGCTATTTCCAATGGTCACTTTGATTAAGATACACATGACCTAGCTAGTGATACTGATGGCAGTAATTAAGGTTAGCATTAATACTGGTAACAGTAGTAAGCAGCAACATCATTACTTTTTACTAATTAATAGCAGTTTGTATGCATTGAGAATTTTCTCTGCGCTGGTACAAAAGCATGACTGGAAGCTTTTGCTACCTATCCCCCTTCCCTGCCAGCCCGCAAAGCTCACCTGACCTTCCCCAGAAGACTGACACTGAACCTAGCCAACTTCAGGCCATGTCCTTTTGCTTACTAAGATTTATCCACCTTTTAGTACAATGCCTGGCACAAGTAGGGTAGGTGGTGCTCAGTAAATATTTGTGGCAGGCATGAACTACAACAAGGCGGTCATGTGTTCCATAACTCAAGGGGTTGTATATGGTGTGCAGACTGTCCCTAGAATAAGGTCCTTCCAAATTTCAGCTGTGTTGGTGCAACCTTCATACGAGATTCTATGCTAGTGCCTGAGTATGCACCTTTTCAGGATTACAGTTGCAAAGTGGCTCTATCGTAACTGTGTTTGCAAAACTTTCTCACCTCTAGAGTTGATAATCCAATATAATCAGACTATTTACTCATATTTTTATGTTGGTCACTCAAAACAGTGGTTATTTTTTATTTAAAAAATTTAAATTGAAACATAAAAGACAAAAACTGTACTTATTAACAGGGTACCATGTGATGTTTCAATATATGCATGCATTGTATAATGCTTAAATCAATTTAAATGTATCTATCTCCTTACAATAAAAACAATCAAAATTTTTTCTTCTAGCTTTCTGAAACACACAGTATATTATCTCCAGGCAACTCACTATGCAACAGCATGCTAGAACTTCTTGTTTTTCATCTAACTGCAATTTAGCACCCACTCACTAACTTTTCCCCATTCTTCCCCTAGCCTCTGGTCCAATCTTGGCTTCTATGAGATTGATGTTTTTTTAGATTCCATATGAGTGACACTGTGTGGTCCTTCTTTTTATGGGTCTAGATTGCTTCACATAACATATTTATCTCTAGTGCCATCCACATTATCACAGATGACAGGATTTCCCTCTTTTTATGGCTAAATAGAATCCCATTGTGTGTATATACCACATTTTCTTTATCCATTCATCAGTCAACGGACACTTAGTTGTTCCTATTTCTTGGCTGTTGAAAACAGTGCTGTAAACAGCAATATAGTTAGCAGGCATTCAATAAATATGTATTGGGGCTGGGGATTTAGCTCAGCGGCAAAAGCGCCTGGCTGGCAAGCGCAACGTCGTGAGTTCGGTTCCTGGTACCGGAGAAAAACCAAAAAAAAATAAATAAATAAATAAATATGTATTGTCCAGTGAAATTATTCTTTGGATCTATTTCCAAGGTTTTTATATCCCCGGCAACGCACTTTAGTAAAATGTGAGATGGAGGAGAGCAAGGCCTTTGTTTTGTAGCATAGGAGAAGGAAGACAGAAACAGGAGAGGTAGCAGAAGATAAACAACCCAGAGCCTGAAGTGTTCTAATGCAGGTCAGTTCTAAGAACTTGTTAACTTGTGAAGATACACAACTGCATGCTTCAATGCCCAGTACCCCTTTTTAAGTCTCTGTATGTCTTGTGGGGTAGACATATTCCAGTGTGAAGACCTTGGCCTTTACCTCATTAATCAGAGACGCAGTGTTATTGTTTTAATGGAGAGAAGGCATGTTGGCACCAGGAAGGGCCAGGAGAAAAGCTTCTTTGGATTGTAATCACTAAAGGCTGGAAGCTTCCCAAACAAAGATCAACCTAAAAAGAAATGTTGGAAGAAAAATTCATGCTTTAACTCAATCCCACAGAAGAAAAACTTGGAAATCAACTATGTGGAAGGGCGTGGTTATCCCAACTTCACATCAAACATCAAGGGAGCCAACACCAGTGAAAATACATTGAAATTACATTAACTCTCAGTGTCAAGATAATTACACAGAAGAACACACACAGAGATTCGGATCCACTGATTCATACATTCAGATACTTATGGAATGGCCAAGATGTGCCTGGCACAGTGTTCGGTATTCGATATAGCAACAAATTATACCTAAGCAACTCACGCATTTTGGACTTGAAGCTAAACTAGCCACTGTTCTAGGTGTTGTACTCAGATATATGCTTTTAAAAACCCTATTTCAGCCACAAAAGGAAACCTCATGATTTGGATTGGGGAGGAAGAAATAACACAACAGCATTAAAGTCCACTACTTCCTGTTTTTCTAGTCAAATACTATCTATCAAGTTAAATATCGACAATCTACTACATAGTGAAATCCCTCAGACGATTCCAAATCTACTGCTTGGAAGCTAGGAGGACAGACTGAATTCAATTTTCAGTTTTTGCAGAGTACACATAAACAAATCCTGATATAATTTTCACATGAGATGCCTTCATAGCCTAAGCTGGTCTTGCTAAACCATCCTCTTCCTTTTCTTTGACCTCAAGCTACATCACAGCATCCTAAAAATCCCGCTCTCATTGGCCTTTCAAAAGTTTGCATGAGTTGTCTTTCTCCTAATACACACACACACACACACACACACACACACACACTCTTACTCATAGTTTAAGAAGACCGAAAAACCCGAAGGCGTGTTTTCCATAGCACTTCAGCTCACGGCAGTAACTTTAATATAAATGTTGACTCATAGGAAAACAGTAGCCAACTGGAACTGTAGCTTAGAAATGCAGCACAAAGCAAGACCTGCTCCACAAATACGTTTCTTCTCTTCGCTGCCACAGCAGCTCACATTCACCTACAGTTCGCAGAATCAGGGAACAGGTGTAAAGGAGCGCTCATTAAGGTGCCATTTCTGGCAGTGATGATGAATACCAAGCCCCTCCCTGGTACGCTAGTGAACACTCCACTGCCTCATCTCCTCCCAAGCCACCCTCGAAATGCTTCCAGTAGTATCTGCTCCTGTGGCTTCCCAACCCCTAGCCAGGGTTTGTGTGACTGAACCTTCAAGCAGAGACATGGGATGATTAGAAGCTTTTCAAGATAATCACCTCTTCCTGTCTGGTCCTCTGCCAAGACCTCCCCTTCCAAAATTTGGTCACAAGTGGTTTCCCTTGAAAGGACTATTCAACTTTTAGAAAACCCACAGGAAGAAACTGGAAAAATTCATATGCTACAAAAAATTGGGTACATGGCTGCTAATAAATTTCCTTGTCCTCTTATCTCCAGTCTTTTTGCCATCAGAGAGACAGAGACAGAGACAGAGAGACGGAGGAGAATCAGAATCAGAAATCTGAAACTGTATAGTGGTTCTTTTGAACCAGTCAGCTCTTGGTCAGAAAGGGAAGATAAGGGGGAGAAGACAGGGGCACCAGAGGGAAGGCTAATTACTCATCCCCTCACACACACACAAAGGTCACTTACAGATTAAACACAAGGGACATGAGCCTCAGAACCAGACCTGGCTCTGACTTCCTGCCCTGCCACTTCTCATGTGACGGGGAAGCTTCACTTGTCATTCCTCATCTTAAACATGAGATGGTGGAATAAAGACAATGTCCAACATTTAGTAAATGTTAAATCAATAGTGGTGAAAGGCTCCTGTCCTAGCCCCTTTTCTATTGCTACAGCCAAGTACCCAGCACTAAGTGACGAATGAGTTTATTTTGGCTCACAGTTCTAGAGATGGGAAAGTCTAAGAATATGGTGCCAGCATCTGCTCAGCTTCTGGTGAAGCTCTTGGGCTGCATCACAAAAAAGGCAGAGAAATGGAAGGGAAGGAGGCTTCCAGTTCTGTGGACACTTATTCCTCGAGACCTATTCCAGTCTTGAAAGAACCAACCCAGTCTCTAGAGGAAGATGTCAATCTATTCATGAGAGTAATGCCCCACCACCTCATCCTCTTCTAGTGGACCAGACCTCGTAAGTTCCACCGCCTTGCAGTACCATGACATAGGGGACCAAGCTTCCAGTACATGAATTTCTGACAGGTAAACCATATCCAAACTTTAGATAGTGCCTAATAGTTATACCAGGTATCTTATTTACCAGGTAGCTTATGATTTATTATGTGTGAGGCATTTGCAAGAATTTTAATTTGCTCATCACTTCTGTGATATCATTATCCCTGTTTTAATGAGTAGAAACCTATAGAAGAAAATAGTGTAAATATCTTGCCCAAAGCCACCTGGATACCAAGAGACTATGCCTATGCTTACAAGCCATGAGGCTCGGGACAGCGCTGTCCAGTGGGCCTTTCTGCAAGAGTGGAAATGTTCTATAATCCATGCTCTCCAACAAGATAGACACCAGCCATGTGAGGTGGTAAGTACTTTCTTGCTTTTAAAGATGGATCTACGTGGCCTACGCTAGCCTGGAACTCCTGAGCTCAAGCAATCCTCCTACCTTGGCCTTCCAAATGGTTGAGATTACAGGCATGTGCCACCATCCCCAACTTTGTTGAGCACTTGAATGTGCCTCGTGCAACTGAGGAGCTGAATTTTTATTTTTAATTAATGTAAAACTACTCACATGTGGTTAGTTGCTGTCCCTTCAGACAGCCCAGCTGAACTATAAAGATCAGTCACTCCCAAAGTAGGCAACAGACCTCAAAAGAAACAATAATAGCGTTAATTTCTTTAGACATGTGGCTGTTATGTAGAAGTAGATTTTTATCACATTACTAGTAGTATAACATCTCCCTGTTATTTCTACCCATGTGGCAAACTTATTTTTGTAATTGCAAGAGTAATATTTTATTTCTAAAAAGCCAAACTAAATCATATAAACTTTTTAATGAAAGTTCCTCTCCCCCCACCACCACCCATACATTAATCCCTTTTAGGTTATATCACACAAATTCTATGTCTCAATACATATGTACATGAGTGTACTTAAGGGATCAAAATGGAGTCAAACCCCATTCACTGTTCTACAACAATAACTATTGAAATCTTACAACTTGTTCACTTTTCATATTAATTGCACACATTACTATCTCATGCTTTGCTAGTACCCATTTCATTGTATGGCTGTACTCTCAGTTACTGACCCTTTATTGATAGACATCTTATTAATTTTAACTTTATTGGCTGTAAATACTGTAATGAGTACACAATCACTGTGGAGCTGCAGTTTTGTAAGACTGTTCCCTAAAAGTACTTCAGCACACACTCTTGCTTGTGTACCACCAAAAATTCCTGTATCTCTTCTTTGCTAATAGAATAGACTTTGTTCAGAGTCTACTCTGACTCCAGAGAACTGGGACTTAAATCCAGATTGATCTAGGTGAGTCAGATGAGCCTGCTCTCACTGGCAGTGATTGGTTAATGCTTAGGGATCTAAGTCAAGTCTACCTAATGGGAAATAGCAGAAAGAAGCTAGAAGTCTTGAAAAAACAAAGGGCACAGAGACATTCTGTAAGAGCATCGTGTTAGGAGTTGCTTTACCATTCACACAGCTTTGAAAGAATTCAGGCTGGGAAAGAGGCAAACAAGCCAAGGATAACAGAGAGCTGAGAGATAAAAAGAACTCAAATTCTTAAAGAACCACTGAGCTGCTGAATTAACCAACCCTGGAGTTTCCCTACCTCTAGGCTTCTTGAAAAGTAAGTTATTTTTCCATTCAGCCAGTTGTGCTTGAGTTTATATCACTGTAGAACCAAAACTGCCCGAAGTAGTACAAAAGAAACTGCTGGCTCAGAGAGGATGTGAAGACTTTTATTGTAGTGGGTAGCTCAAGGTCACTTCTGTTTAGCTTTCCAGCATAATGCAGAAGGAGTCTTGCGGGCTTGGATATGTCATGGCAGGTTCACTGCTTCATTAGGTGAGGTATATTTGAACAGCTCCCCCATCAGTACCCCTGCCTCTGATACACACCGATGATACTGACTTAAACATAAGCCCAGAAATCCAGCCAGACTAAAGATGGAGATCTGCCAGAGATGTGCTTCCTAGCCTTTTTCATGTCACATTACACATAGAAAATGATAATGTTTTAGGGTACATTGGGATGCATGGGTAATGCTACTCAAAGCAAATAATGCTCAGTGTAAGATTCCAGGTGTGTGTGGTTGTGCCTGGCCACCTGGAGGACAGACAAGCACAAGGTTGTAGCTCACCTGAAACCCATTCATGGAACACTGATCATGAGGTCTCTGTTAAAAAAAAAAAAAAAAAAATCCTCATATTTCAGCAATTCTAAGCAACACATTTTCCTCACATTTTAACATCTCTGAAATCAGCACACATCTTACAACTAATAATGTTTTATAAATGCTGTCAGCAGGTGGTATGATGGCACTGACATTTTCCACATTTGCAGAAAATCAGTCTGATAATCTTTTGTTGGTCTCTTCTAGAGAAGTCAAGAAAATCCCAGCATGTCAGGGGAGTTATTGCTGAAGGGGTACAAGATGAAAAGGACTTGGAGATAGACGGTGGTAATGGTTACACAACACAGCATGCAACTGTACTTACTGCTACTGAAATGTACATGTAAAGATAGTTGAAGTGGTAAATTTCATGTTGTATATATTTACAATGTGCATCAAACTTTGTAGGTGCATCAGTGGCTTGGATGCAGAGACAGTAACAGAACATCTGCTAAGAAACTCTGCACTTGGACTGGTGTGCCTCATGGCACACAAGATAACACTATGTGGGAAAAATATGGACACAGAGGACTTAGAAGATGAAGTTTTAGGAATACTTCAATCAATTGATTTCTCATACAATTCTCCTTTTTGTGTATGCGCAGGAGTGATGGAATGCCAAAAAAAAAAAAAAAAGTCTACCCTAGCATTTCTCTAACCCTCCTGAGCCATTCTCCACCTTCGCCTCCTGCCTTTGGCTGACTTCCTGGGCTGCACCCACTGGGCTCCTCTGGCATCCAGCTGGGTTCAGTCAAGGGGAAGCAATGGCAGGAGACAGGTAGAGAAGAGCAGCACAGGGCAGTGGGTTGGAAGTGGCTGTATTCCTCCCCAAATGCATAGATCTGGTTAAGTAACTGGCTCCTATAGCCTCAGCTTCCCAGGACCCAGTCTCTCCTCTCACCCCTGGAGGGCTAGGCATAACAGCTCCCACTCTAGCCAGTGCCAGAGCCCTTCACTCTTCCTTGTCGGTATCAATCTCAACTCTGCCCATACCCTTGGTAATACTGCTATCAGCAAACCCTGTTCTTAAATTAATCCACCCAGGAGTGAGATGCCTGAGGCTACAGTCTTTATCTAGTTGAGATCAGATCCAGGTGTCCTTGGTTATGATCCTGCCTTATCCTTTGAGGCTTTCTGGCTTCATCTGCCATTACAGGGCTTAGGAGAATTAGTGACTCACAGAGATTCACTTACTGGGAGTCCACCACCCATCTTCAGACAAGGGGCCTAGGCCTTGGACAGACTCATAAGCAAACATGGAAAGTCAAGTGGTTAATTTAAGTCCTGCTCAGGGCTGCACTGTAGTCTCAGGTCTCCATCACTGTTCAGTTCCCCACCTCCATGAATACTTTGAGTATATTTTGGCAATGGGTGATTGTTAGATTTGATTAATGAGAATAAAATTTCCAGTATATGTGTTGAAGGGTTAAAAAGGTATTTCTAACTTTATACTTCTGGAGTTAACTTGGGATTACAGCTAAGCAAGTTTAATATTTGGAAATATTATACACAAGGCAGTTGAGTGCCAATTTTATCCCCTGGGTTAGTACTACCAGCAAATGTATATTAGGACCTCAGGAACAAGGTATCTTGGATGATCCCACACCTTGCCCCAGGTCAGCAAGTCTTCCTCAAACAGGAAGCAGGAAGACTGCAAGCAGGAAGATTTGCGGACCTGCGACAAGGTGTGGGATGGTCCAAGACAGTTACTGGCTCTCATAGTGTCTCTCCTGTCCTTTAACAACAGCTTCATAACTGGCAATTCTGCCTTCATACAACCTACCCTCTCTCTGCTGTCAACACATTTTCTACACAAGCAGAGCTGATCAGGCCATATTCCTGCTTAAGATCTTTTTTTGCTTCCCATTACTTTCAGCATGAAGTTCAAGTTGTTACATGTAACATATACAAGGCCCTTACGGTTCATCCCTGCCAATCTCCATATCCCTATTTCCTGTTGCTCACCCACATATGTCCTTTCAGCCTGCCACAGGTACAACTTGCTAATTCCTAAATACATCATACTGTTGCATATTTCAATGAGTCTGTACTTGCTACTCCTTTGAACTAGAATGTCCTTCCCTTTATTCATGTACTTCTTAAATTTCATTCAGTACTCAGCTCAGCTATCACCTCCTCTTCAAAGCCTTCTTGGATATTCCAGGTTGATATAGCAGTAATCTTTATGTATCACACCAAAATGGCTTATATCCAGGGGCTGACACTGGATACAGGAACTCAAAGGTTGTTAAATGAACGTATTCATGCAGTTATTTTCTACTTCTGTTTTTCCTCATATTATAGCAACAAAGAAACCGCTGTTCTTTGTCTTGGCATTCAATTATTTAGTGGCAAAAGTGATCAGCAGACTGAAAATAGTAAAATAATTCCAAAAGTGGTGCTACAGCCACCTAAGAAGCTAACCTCACATGCTAATGACAGACTAAAGATTCACACTAAGCTAAGCCCTAATATGCTCAGTGCTTTTAACTTTGAGCCTACACTTCTGGGCTTTATACAACACCATAATCACTTAGACACCTAAATGATATGTATACTCATCTGCTAAAAGCACAGGTTCCAACCCAGACTACCTGGCTTTTTATCTTACTTCCATCACTCAATAGCTGAGTGCTTTGATCAAGTTACTTAACTGTTTTATGCCTTAGTTTCTTTATCTGTAAGATGAGGATGATATTTATTGACCTCCTAGAATAAACGATTTAACATATGTGAATGCTCATAACAGTGCTTGGCACAAATTACGCACTGTTCAATAGCTATTTTTTGTATTTTTCCTACTAACTGGGCAGAGAGACTGGCATAGCTAAGACAAGAAATCATTTCTGGGGGCCTTTCTCTTGTGGTGAAGCCACAGCTAGCTATCTTAGTACCCATTTCAGAATCATAAGGTTCATTTCTAATATTGGCAGGGGTTTGCTAAAGAGACATCATCTTCCAGTTGGCTCCACCAAAGGCTGCCAGGGGTTTGTATTTCCTACACTGTACCTATGCAGTGTAAGCAATGAATCCTTTTTCTCCTCCTGCGCATAGTTTTCTAAGGTTTATTTCTAAGGTTTCCTGTCTCTGTGGTGATTACTCCATGCAAGCTCCCTGTGTGTACTCCTCACATAAATATTTTAAGTCAAATAACAAGAGACAAGTTTAGAAAAAATACTAGTGCTTCCTGAACGTCACTTGGACTTAACAGAAGTACACCTGTGGCTCCTGGGGATTCCAAGGAATATATTGTTTATCCCACCACCAGCTATCTAAAGAATATTTGAGAATTTTTTGAGTAAACTTTCTTTGAAATGCAAGGTTACCTAGAATCCTAGAATTTTAAGGCTAGAGGATACCACTGCTCATTATATATAGATGAACCATCAAAGGGGACATAGTTCCCTAGCTCCTGCTTCTTCGTGGAAGATCTTCTAGCACTACTCTCCCCCATCTCCCACCTTTTGCATTTGAAAATAAAAATGTCCTTTAAAAATAAAAAGCTACCTATGTTTAGCGACATATTTTTCAGTTGCATCTGTTATTCAGTTCATTCACCTGGAATGTAAAGACAGGAGGGGCGGGCCCATGCCAAGTAGGCCATTAGTGATGGTCTCCTTCGGCCCAGCCTCCCCTGAACTCCTGTTCTCCCTTTTCTAGCATGCTTAACACCCTTCTACTTAGTTTGTATTGTCTGCCTCTTGCACAAGGATAACCTCCAAGAAGGCAGGGATTTGGGGCTATTTTTCCACAGCTACATCCTTAGCATCTAGAATTACACCTGATACTCAGGCGGTCACGATGCACTGGATGCCAACTGATCACAGTCTATGGGACAGTTTGGTAAACACTCCCAGACTGCTGGTTTCCCCAGCTCCTACTCCTGGCATCTTTGGCAACAGAGTAAACCACAGCCATCCCGTCTGATTAGTCCTTTAACCCACTTGTAGCCACAGGCAGGAAAGAAAAGTAAAAAATTTCTAAGCAAATCATTTAATCATGAAGTCAAACCAGACAGAATCATATCAAGACTCCAAACTACGCTTCCTTGGAGGTGAAATTCTGACCTAATGCTCTGTATGGATGACCACTCTCCTAGCCAACCACTCCACGGAAAATGTATTCTCTTACAGAATTGGTTTAAGTGAGGAGTTCAGTATTTTTCAGAATATCTTGTGGACACATTTGTACACAAAAATGAGAAAAAAGAAATCCTCTTTGCAAATAAGTATATCTTACATCTCAAATGAATAAAAGAAGTACCTAAGTTTGATCACTTTATTTAACTGCATAAATATAATTCAGCCACTTTTTGGGTAAACAGTTGAAGAAATGAAACAAAACAGTGATAGAAAGGTAGGAGAGTGGATAATCACCACCAAAGACAGCAAACAGATTACCTGAGAATGAAGCCACAGCAGTCCTGTGAAAGACAGGAAGTCCTCCCAGTAAGCAGGAAGTCCTCAAGCAAGCAGGAAGTCCTCCCACTAAGGCTCTTACATCATGCAACTGAATACCTCCCACCGATCCTTCCTCCATTGTCACCTCTCTCAATGAATGATAACCCAGGTGGAACATACTGATGTATAAAATGTTGGCTTTTTTTTTTTTTTTTCTTTTTAAATGACGGGCCTTCCCGAGACACAACAGGCAACCCAAAGGCTTCTGAAGCATCCCACAGATTATGCCAGGAGCTCCTTTCCTTACTCACCGCCTGCAGTACAAGCACAGGCACCATTTCCTTTCTGCTCATCACGCTGTGCCCTAAGCCTGGCGCCCGGCAGACACTTCACACATATGCTGGATAAATGCCTCTGTCCGTGAGTTTTTGTAACTTCTGGGATTGATCAGCTTTCCAGTCAAAAGTCCATAAAACCGAAAGAGGGCAACATCCATGGAACCGGACTACAAGGTGGTGCCAGGCACTGTCCACTGCCCAGAGCAGTCTATTGATAGGAACTCGCCAACCACAGCCCACATTCCATTAGAGTCCAGAAGAGCAGT